CAGGCCCTCTCTTTCTGCCATGTCAAGGCCAGGCCCCTCACTTTCAAGTGGCTTCAAACCAGCCCCCTCTTTGCCACTCATCAGACCAGGCCACCAGGACTGCCCATCTCCTGTCATGAGTGCTTCAAGCACATCCTGACTCCAGAGTCAACTCCCTTCATCCTATACCCCTCTGCAGAAATCTTTCTTCCTTTTCAAAATTATTACTATTATTATATTATTATTGCCAGAGGTTGTGCTTGCCAGAGAGAGACAAAGAGAGCGGGAGAAGGCACTCCCATGGGCATGCTCCCCTGGCCACACCACATACCCTGTGCTCCCTTCTCCATTTCCCTCTCCCTTCAGGACTCCGGGCACACATGTACATGCACCGTGTGCATTTCAAGCTGTTGGGACCAGGATTCGAACTGTGCAGCCAGCCATGTGGGATCCAGTTCCCTTAACCACTAGGCCACAGGGCTGGTCCTGGCAAAATCTTTCTAGCCCAGATTTCTGTTGATGCCGACCTCATACAGCCAGAAAGCCTCTGTGGTACCCTCTCTGCTATGGAGAGAGTGCAGACCTACCTCGGCTGCAGGACCCTAGTCACTTACTCAAGTGTGTTTCCCAGCCTGGTCCCCGCCCCCCACACCCTGCAGTGCTCACTGAACAGCTAGCGGGAATGATTACTCTTCGTGCTAAGCTCTCGGTGTGTAAGGGCAGTGCTGAGCACATTGCATCCGTTACCACCTTATGAATCCTCACGACAAGCCTATGTACTTGGCCCCACTTAACTGATGTGTAAACTGAGGTGCAGAAAGAGGGGAAGTGACTTGTTCGAGATCTCTTAGCCAGGGATCAAACTGAGGCTGGAACCCAGGCCTGCTGGATGCCGATGCCTGAGCTCTTACCCCATACTTCGGACCCCATGTTTCCTCCTGCCCAAATCTTCCTAATTGCAACAGGGACCTCACCTCTTCCAGGAAGATCTCTGATTGCCTACCTAAAAAGAAATCACTCTCCATTTGGCACATCTGGGGCATTTTGCTCCTACTGTAAATTTGTTTTTTTCTTAGTGGACTGTGGTTGTGGGCTCCTAATGGTGGCTGGACCTCCTCGCTGGACAGAGCTTACCTCTTCCTCAGTCAGCCCAACACAGAACACACAGTAGGAACTTTTTAACACCTGCCAAATTGTTAGAAATCCTTCTTGGCAGGTCCCTTGAGTTCCATTTCCTAGTCTTCCATCCAGAACATACTACTGTGTGCAAGGCCGTTTCCAGGGCCCTGTGGCAATTCCTCACAGCCAGCAAGGTGCCCTGTCCACCTAGTGCACAGTGCAGCAGCAGGGGCGTGTGCTCACGTCACCCTGGCTTTCCCTGCTCTGGGGCACAGCGCTAGACTCTCCCCTTTAAATTGGGTAGCTTTCTAACAGAGTTCTGGGCAAGGGAATGCAGGATACTTCCCAGGTGGCCCTGGAGAACCTCCTAAGACCATATTCCCCCTTTCCTCACGTACCAGGGAATGAGGAGACTGGGAGACACAGCGAAGGGCAGGCAGATGGTGAGAGATGTCCGGACACCCCAGATGCCAGACAACCAGCCCTGAATGTGACGCCCAGTAGCTGCTCAAGAAATGTAAACTCCTTCATCCTCACCCCGCCCCCATCCACCTGTGTGCTTTAGTCCCAGGTCCCAGGGCAGAACCTCCACTCAGTTCTGACACAGCGTTTGGCTGGTCTTATTCACTGATCTCCCCTAGTCTTCGGTTTTATGTATTTTAATTAAGTGTTATTATTTTGTGCTTGTGCTGAGAATGATTTTATTACAGGGCAGGAGTTTATAGACCTCAGGGAGGAAATAAATAAATAAGTGTGGGCTGGGCTGGCAGGGAGGTTGGAGGGATTGCAGAGGTGGTGTGTGAGGTGGGGCGGGAATGGCAGGCAGAGCCCGGGCACCCGGCGCGAGGTGATTTAGCAGCCGGCAGGGCGGCTCTGGGGCTGGGCGCTCAGGCCACCGCTCTGGGTTGTCAGGTCCTGCGATTCCCACTCGCCTCCTCCCTCAGAGCATCTGCACATACTGTTCCTTTTCCCGGCATGCCACGCTGCCCTTCCCATCTATTAGGCTGTTGGGAAAGCCGGGCCGCAGTTTTGTATAGAAAATCAGAAAACTGTCGTGACTTTCCCCATCACCTAAGAGAATGTCTATCCTTTTTGCTGTCTGGTCTCACTTGGTACAAAGATGACTTCTGGGGCTCGTCTGTAGTGGCTATCAAAAACGGATTTTAAAAATTTTCAGGATTTTTGCAAGCGGGTTGTTAAACACAGTCATTAAAAATTAAATCAGGCCCAACCACAGCAGTTTGGGCGGCAGGGCACTGCTCTGCAATGCTGAAGGCCACGGGGAGGACAGGTGCTACGGAGCGGTGCTGCTGCCCGACTCTTCCCAACTCCGCATCGCTGCCAGCATGTGGGCAGCCAGAAATCGGCCATGGCAGGAGTATTTACACAATGGGAACTGGCATATGCTACAGATGTGACTTGGCTCCTCGGATGGTCTCAGCTGTTCACACCCCCAGCACACCACTGGTCATTTCCGTGTGTGCCTCCCTCGCTCCTCCTCTGAACCGTGAGCTTTGGGGCAGAGGTCTTTAAAAAAAAAAAAGTCTGCCAGAGAGCACGTGTGCTTACTAGAGAAGAAGAGATTAAAAGAGAGAGGGAGAGAGGGAGAAAAGAAGAAAGTGTCCCCAGTGGGGCGTGGTCATTCCATAATCCTTCCTCTTCCATTTCTTTGCCCTGTCAGGATTCTGGGCATGCACACACAAGCCCAGTGTGTTTTTCAAGTCTCTAGGGCCCGGATTCAAACCCTGCTGAGGGCCATGTGGGATTCCAGCTCTCTTAAGAACTAAGTCATGGCGCTGGCCCAGGCAGTTCTTAAACATTAGACTCACCAGCATGTGCTTTCAAAACGCCAATGCCCAAGTCTCACACAAGACCAAGAACACCAACTGGTGTGTGCTGAGACTTTGAAAGTCCTTAGAGAAGCCCACTGGGCAGCTAGTGTTGAAGGCCAGCAGGCTTGATCAGGGTGGGGTATCTCAAATACTGACACGCTCAAACTCCCAGGGCCCTTGTGAAAATGCGTGCTTTGGATTAGGACTTTAGAGGCGCGGGGTAAGACGACATTTCTTGGGAGCTTCAGGTGGTGGGGATGCTGCTGCCCCATGCATCGCGCTTGGGACAGAAGGTTCCAGAGGGAGACCGCAGGCTGCAGCCAGCACGCAGCTGGCACGGCCTCCCGGGCTCCAGGACCACCCTTCGAGTCCTCCCTTGATTTGCAAATCGCAGCTGGATGATCACAGCTGTTCCTCTCTTCTTCTCCAGGACTAATGAGGTGGGACACAAGAACACACCTTACAAAATGGGAAACTGAAGCTGGAAACGGACTGACCGATCCAGGCCCTTCCTTCTGGCCATGTGATCTTGGATGGGTTTCTTACCCTCTGGGCCTCATTCCTG